GGTTGACGTAGCAACGGGGCGGGCGGTGCTCGGATGGACCGCACCTGTGCGGGAAACCACGACAGGAAGAGCGACGGCTGAGCAGGCGGGAAGCGCGGGCGCTTACCTTTGAAGATGTCATAGGTGCGCGTGCCAGGCGGCGCCTTGGTCAGCGGACAGTCGCGCTCGTTGGGACAGTGGTACAGGAAGCAGTTGTCCTCGCCGCCGTTGCGCTTGTTCCCGTTGAACACGGCCACGTTGCACTTGGCGCCTGCGCAAAACACCAAGACCGCGATGACATCACGGCGAGGTCAGGACGACGGCCGGACGACGGGGAGCTCACCCGGCGGCACCCGCTGGGAGCAGCAGGCCAGCACGCATTCCTGCTCGGTCGGCACGGATCGGGAGGCCGCGGCCACGCCGGCGCCGGCGAGCGCCGCCCTGGCGTTGACGGTGGCGTTCTGGTGCTGCCGCGAGAAGCAGCGCTCGGGTTGGGAGCGGACGTGAGCCAGCGTTAGCACCAGGGCGAGGGCCAGCGGGGCGAGCCGACGAGTCATGGCGGAAGGCGGACCGACGGGCTTGCGGGAACTCTGCACGGGACAAACGGCATCGAGTTGAGCATCATCACGCCAAGTGGATTCATGACGTTCTACCGCCAGCGCAGTGCGTCCTGGACTGGTCGCCAGTCCCATCTGGACAAATTCAGGGAGTGGGGGGGCGGGAACAATAACAGCTTCTAGACAAACAAATGAGCGGTCAGCAAGTGAAGGGGGCGGGGGAGAAGCCTTCATTTTGGAAGCGTGACGTCACGTGCGCGGCCATCTTTTCGGCCTTCGTCCCACCAAAGCGGGCTCGCCTGGCCCCCACCGCGCAAGTTGTCGACGGCAACTCCGCGGCCAACTTGTGGCCCGCGAAGGAGACGAGCGACCGAGCGGGGGCGGGCCCCCCCGGGCGGCCCCCTTCCCACCCAGCGGGGCAGGCCCAGGCCCAAAACTCGGTCGGCTCGCGACGGGACGCTTGACGCGAGCGAAGCGACCGACAACGCGAAGTCCTTTCGACAAATCGAAGCCGTGAAAATGTCGTCGGGGTGGGCGAAGACAAGCGAGAAGCGAGTCAAGACCTGCGTGGCGGCGCCGTCACCCCGACTCCTTCTTTTTCCTCTTCTTCTTCTTCTTCTTGAGCAGAGCAGAACCTGCGACGTCCAAAGTGCACCCGCGGGGACTTTGGCTGCGCGCTGACGTCAGGCCGCCCGAGCGCACCTTGCCCGGAGCATCCGGGGCATCGATCCGCGCGGAGTCACGCATCCTCCATCGAGCCGAGGCGTCCTCATGCTAACGCGGCGAGACGGCCCAAGCGACTCCGGAGCGTCGGTCCGCTTGGGGTCTTTGTCTGCCGGCCGCCGACGTCACCGAGCCTTCCTTCGGTCTTCTTCTCGCGCGGTCCGACGGCGCGCTCGCGTCATCCGCGCGTGACGTCACGCCGCTCCCGCCTCCGTCCGCAGGTTCGACCGCTCGAGATCCGCGCTCGCGGTACCGTCCGGCTCCGACGCGCGCGTCCTCACCTGCCGGATGCGCCCGCCGTTCGTCGATCGCTCGCTCCGCTCCGGTCCGGTCCGGTTCGGTTCAGTCGCGCGGCCGCGTCATCGGCGTCGCCAGCCGAGTCGTCCGTCGTCCTCCGTCCGCCGCGGATGAAGGAGCCGAGCCGACAGTTGCTCGTCTTGCGGCGCGAAGACGAAGGCGAGCACCAGGACGAGGAAGCTCGCTGGTTCCGAGCAGATGACCCATTTTTGGCTTTGTCCTCCGGGAGGGGGGAAGGGAGCCGCGCGGAGGAGGGGGGAGGGGGGCGGGGGCTGGCTGCCACACGCCCCCTCTTCTTTTCCACCACTCGAGTGTGTCTTTTGGATTCCATTTGGCTTCGTCTATTCCGAAACGTCATTTCTAAAAATGGAACCCTTATTTCGGACGCATTCCGATTTGAGTCATCATATGGGAGCTTTTTTTTTTTTTTTTCTTATTTGTATTTTGGTTATTTTAATTTGAATCGGCATTTCGCTTTGCTTTTTCATCTCTTGTTGGAATCATCGCTTTGGCTTTTATTCTTTTTTTCGTCAATCGGTTAGAAATTCAGATTTCACATGGTCTCGTTTGTATTTCCCTTAACCTACGTTCATCATGATTTGATTCCGATTTCGGAGCTCTTGTTTCAGGCATTCTTTTTGTTTCTTTTTCCAGCTATTTTGATGAGGATCATTTTTGTTTGAAACGCACCTATACCGTACATATGTGCATATTCTAATCTCTTTGGTTGTTTGAATGAATACCGCCCCCACCCCCGGCACTCCCCTCTCTTTGACTTCAAGGTTCAAGTAAAACAATGCACCTCCTCATCGGAACTTGCAAGGGACGAAATGACTCCCGAGTGCAAAAACAACGCCGTCGCCGATGGCGCAGCGTGCGCGCGGAGCGAGGGATCGGCTCCCGCTCGGTGACGGTGTGGCTGCGAATGGCTGTGCGTCTCTCCTTGCGCCCCGCGACCGACCGGCGAGCAGTTCAGGGTGTGAAGCCCCTTTGGCCCCAAGTCAGCTGGGAAAAGCTCCGGCGGCCCCCGCGACTCTTTTCAGCGCTGTGGAAAATGAACACATTGCAGAATAAAGAGCCGAATGCAAATTAAATATCGAAATATAAAATTGATTTAATGCACGCAATGTTTTTTTTTTTTTGGAAACACTACGTGGCACAGTACAGAAGACATGCATGCACTTTTTCATTGGCGCTTATTCAGGTTGAGGCAAAGAAAAGGTCCAACTATTTTTGGGGTGGATCCTATTTGCTGAATGACGACAAAAGGAAGAGGATTCTCATTTGAACGTCGGTATTTGGATAAACGTGACAGATGTCAACAGAATACCAACAGCCATCTTGGGGGTTATTCTCCATTGTCCATGTCGACGTCCATAGAGGCCTTGACCACCGTGCTCATTTTTTTCTTGCGCATATTCTTTTTTGGTGGAGGAGCTGCAGCTTCAACTGGCCACGACACAGACACACACACACAGACACGTTACAAATTTGTCTTAAGACTTGAAAGTGAAACCGTGACTACACTTTGGCGCCCCCCCAAATTGCCCAGCTTTTCATCAATGTTTTTTTTTCCCCCCACTGGCTTTTTGACAAAAAGACTTTTTTTTTTTTTAATTTACTGCCTGAAGCGGCTCCCCTCAGGCAGTCAATGCGTCGAGCAAGTTAGCTCAAGGCCTGGCACTCACGAGCAGGCGGGAAAGCTGACAGCGTGACGCGCCAGTTCCGATATTAATAGAGGCACATCTCCGTCCAAAAAAAAAAAAAAACATGACTTTTGGCCTTTCGGCCAAACGGCGCTTTGCAAATTACATTGACCGGCTACGCCAAGAGGAACACATCACAACTAAATGAGCGGCCAAGCCTGTTTCTTTGTTTGTTGTTTGTATGTTTTTTTTAACGACATTGTGAGTTTTGACACGATGAGGTGAGTTTTTTTTTCCTCGACAACCTCCCCACAATACCCTGATAACGATAGCAAAAAAAGTCTTACCTTCCATTGCGGCTTTGTCCTTTTGGAGGTGCTGCAGTTGCTTGATGAGCTTTCGCTTCTTCTTCCCCGACAATGTGATGTTGGCCCTGGGACTCGTTCTGCAGGGAGGAGCAAACGTTGTCATCGCACACGTTGTCACGGCTCCGCTCGGACGGTGAGCAACCGACCTCCTCTTCCGGAGGTGATGGATGGTGATGAGGCCCCGGTCCACCACGGCGCCCACGATCTGATTTCGCTTCTTCTTCGGTCGTCCCAGAACACGGCGGCGCTTGAAGAGCTTCTTGCCCAAGTCCTGCCACAAAAAGTACGCCGGCTCAGAGGACAAAACGTCACTTGTATCCCGAATCCGTCCCCAACAAATTGCAGCTCGTACGATTAAGGTTCGCTCCAATTGGCGAGACTTTTTCAGTCAAACATAGCGCTTGTTTCAGCTCTTCCCCTTCAAGCTACAGCGACAGCTGTGACGAGTTTGTCGCGCGTTTAAGAGACGGCCGCAAGTTGGTTGCGTGGAACGTCGAGCTCCCGATTTCCCGATTTTGTTTGTTGCTTGTGGCGGAGGTTGCCTACCGTTTTGGGTCTGTTGATCTTCCCTCCGGGTGGCGACATGCTGCCTGGCCGCCGGTTGCTTCTGCTTCCGCCTTTTCTCCTTCGGCGCGTCAGTCGGAGGAAGGGCAGGAAGAAGCCGCTACTGCCACCCTCGGGCCACGCGCGGCCTTACAACCGCCAAAGTCAAGGGAGAGACGACCAGCCTCGACGGCGAAGGGCGACCTCAAGGCCCTTCGAAGACTTTGGGAGAGGAGGGGACGCGTTTCTCAAAGGAGATACGCGCCGCCCGCTCCCGAACTCCGCAGGAAGCCCCGACGCGACCACTCGCACACAACCGCTTATTCAAAACGGAGCTTTTCATTTCTTTTGGATGAATTTGCGAAATGCTTTGGTTGAAAAGAGCAACGACGCACAGTGAACATTTGTTTTTATTCGTTCTGTAACTGTCGAGGACTTACAATCGGATTAAAGTCTTTGCATTCGGATGAACTTGTGACGTTTTCCCTTTGATGAGCCCTCCACCGAGCGACCACCGCACGAGCGGAGAGAAATCGTGTCAATTGTTTCATGTCAGTGCAAGTGGCAAAAAGCAACCGCCAGGGGGCGTCGCAACTCCAAGTCGAGGAAAGACCCGAGCCAGTCGACTCGTTTGTCGGTGTAAAGTGCATGATGGGAGGACAAAAACAACAACACCACCCCAATAAATACAACATTCAAAGCAAATAAATTACAACACAGATGTTGAAATGAAAAGAAAATCTTTCATATTCGGGTCACTTCCTAGACTACTGCTTTCTATGTACACAATAAATATTCGTCTTTCTCTTCTCTTTCCAAACAGCAAGACGACTGTTTAGGCGTCCACTCCACTCCACTCCACTCGACGCGGGCTTCTGGACAAAAAAAGAAAAGCCAATTCATGCCAATGAACATCGGGATGAATTTCTTCAAAGCGACGATTCACTTTCGGTCCGACGACGCCTTGGTCAATATAAATTCCTCGATGACAGCTGGAATTCGAGTTTCGAATTGACCCACCGCCAGCATCACCGCAAAGAGCCTTTGCCTTGGCTCATCTAAAAGCATCGCTTTGGCGCCCTCCGCGGCGTCCCGGTGCGGAAGGGAGTCGAGTTGAGCTTTGCTGCCACCTCGGGCGTCTGTGGGCAATTTGCTAACCTTTTGGGGGTGCTCACTTGGCATTTCTTCAGCTTCTGACCAGTGTGCGAGTACGCTTGCAAGAAAAAAAAATAACCCCAACGGAAACTAAATAAACGCAAGTGAAACGATTCCATTGGAATTGGAATGGCGGACGGTTTGCAAAGTTGGATTGCTGGCCGGTATTTACCTTTGTACGCTTCGCGTTTCGGAGTCTTGTGCCACTTGACACAAATCAATCGGCGGTTACTCAGTCCGCGAGTCGTTTTGTCACGGGAGGCTGCTTATTTCCGTTTGACGGGAGTCCTCTTGCTTGGCGACTCCAGCCGCCCGCGAGCAACATTGCCGCGAGTGCGACAAGTGGCGGGCGGGGTTTTGTGCGAGGCAGGCCGTCACGCAAGAAAGCTGACCGCGAAGACACCTGTGCCGCACGTCGTCCAAACGAGGACAGAGAGCGTACCCGTGTAGAAGAACCATTCGGCGCAAGGACCAAGTGCGCGCACGGCTTTCTAGCGGCTGCATTTTCCTTTCCCCGTTTGGCCCAGAGGCAAAAGGCATATAGTGAGGAGCACGATGATGATGATGGTGGTGTGTGTGTGTGTGTGTGTGTGGCACGGACCTGCGCTCAGAGGAGCTTCCCGCGCCTCCGCGCCGGAGGCCAGCCGGGAGCGGGCGGCGGCGGCGGGGACCGAGCCCTCCTCTTCCTCTTGTCGACGTCCTTCCTCTTGCCGGGGCGTCCTTTCTTGCGCCGCTTGGCCTCCTTGGAGCTGTCGTGGGTTTCCTGCGGCAGGTTGGTGGTCTGGCGCTCCTCGGCCGACCAGTCCGACGGCAGGCCCTTGCCCGGCGCCGGGGGGGCCTTGGAGAGCGGCGGCGGCGGCGGCGGAGGCGGCAGCTGGCGGATCTCGGCCGTGTGCACCTCGTCCAGGAGCTCCTGCAGCCACATGCGGCGCTTGAAGTCCTGCAGCGTGCGGCCTTTGTCGTGCATCAGCTGCGCGTGCGTCACCGAGCGCCGCCTGAGCAAACGCAAAAGACAACGGTGGCCGCGTTAGTCTGCCGGGAGAGGAAAAGGTGCGCCAAGCCGTCACTGGGCGATGCGAGGAAGCGGTGCGAGGACGGCGGAAGGACAGAAAAAAATAAAAGCCCCTGCGGCCGCGGAAGCCCAACTTGGTCGGGCTCGCCGCGCACGGCAACTTTTTCTTTCAAGCTGTTTTTCTGGCAATTCCGAGACGAGTGTTCGGTGAGCGCGGGGGCGTCTTTTGCGTTTGGCTCGGCGGCGTCAGGGAGGTGAGAGGCCCGCACGGCGGCGGCGGCAGAAGAAGAGCCGACGGCAGCGCCCGCTCCGCTTTGATTCCGTCCAGATGGGCCGAGGCGGCGCCGATCTCGTTCTTTTCTTTCCTCGCGTTCAGCTTCTTAGCGCTGTTATCTTTGCCGCCGGCCGGCCCGGATCGAGTTTCTCAACGGGCTCGGGCCGCTCGGCTCCTAAACAAACAGCCGGGCCGAGGGCGGGCAGAGCCTGGGAGCCCCGAGCCGGCCGGCGCGCACCGACGGCAGGCCTCCGCCGTTCCCCCGAAGACGGGCGGCCTCCCCGAAAATCCCCCGCCCCGCACCGCCATCAAAGCGGGCCGCCTGCCCGGAAGAGCCTCAGCAGGACGCGCATCCGCCCGCCCGGCCCAGACGAGCGCTCGCGCCAACTCGACCCGGCGACCTCAATTCCACTCTGAAGCACTCCAAATCAAAGAAGAGTGACTGCATTTTCTTGGGGGGGGGGGGATTCTTTTTCGTGATCGTTTTTTTTTCTTGCAGCTAACTTTTTGACAAGGTTGAACAAAAATACAGAAATCAAATCAAATAAAGGGTTTGTCTCCCCCCCGCCCCCCCCTTCCGTGTGTGTGTTCCTTGTCCAAGTGAACTCATGTTGCCATTTGTCAGCAGGAAAATGGCTGATTTTTGTCGCTGGCTATTTTCCACAGCCACCTGGGAAGAGGCGTTTCGCGGGCCGGCTCGCCGAGGTCACGGGAGCCCCCGTCGGTGGTCACCCGCGTCCTCGCGACGTCGCCTTCGGTCGGCAGGCAAGCGGCAAAAGGCCTTCCTTGGGAGGGCCGCGATGCCGTTCGCTTTTGGACCGGAGGTAAACTTGGGCCTGCTGAAAATGGCACAACTCCTCAACTGTCCCTTTTCAAAGACTTGCTTGTTTTTTTGGGGCGGGCGCTGACTTTGGAGACAACGGAGGGGGCGGGGGTCTTGTGTCCGATGAACCACCCCGAGTAAAAAGCGCACTTTCTTGTGGACGTCAGACTGCTTCTTACTTTGTTGACGAGGCCTTTTGCCCACAGATGGGACTTTTGCAAACAAAATGCCCATTTTTTTTTTTTCCCTTGTAACGTTTTTCGCGGGGTCGCTGACACCCCCCCGCAAGGACGGCACGCGCGACGCATGAGGAAGCGGAGTTGCGGACAGCCAGCGAGGAGCGCAACTTACGTTCGGGCGTCGGCGGGTCGGGCCCGGTTGGCGTCGGGTGAGCAGAGCAGGAAGGCGGCCAGGAAGAGGGCGCCGACGCCGGACATCTTGCGGCCGGCCGCTTCTGCGAACAAGAGATGAGCAGCTTGAGCGCACGCAGGCACGCAGGCAGGCAGGCAGAGGCGTGTGCGCACCGCCGGAGCGGCAGGAAACTTACATTCCCTGTGTGGACTTTGTCGCAATTAGAAAAACATGAAAAAAATTCCAAGAAGGAAACTCCGGCAGCAGATCCGAGGAGGAGGTTGTTCTTCTCCTGGTCCTTTTTTTTGGCTTGCGTGAAAACTCGAGCAGACTGCGCGCGCCTCTTTCCAGATGTCGCGCGGATGCCGGAATGCCGCGAGCGGCTACGGGAGCGTCGTGAGAGCGGCCGGGCGGGCGGGCGTTCCGCAAGGGGCGGAGCTTTGCCGCCGGAGGGCGGGCATTGAGGGAGGGGGCGCGTCCGCAAGGTTTCCACGCCGAGCGCGCGTCCCGAAGACGGACGGCCTCCCCGTTTGAGCGCGCGGACGGATGCGTCCGCATTCCAGGTGCTGAAAAGTCATCCCCCCCCTCCCCCCCAAACACGCACACACATCCACGGACACATGTTTGCACACTAACCCAGAGAGGCCAAAACGCATTCCGCACGGGGCTGAGCGGTGGGCCGCGCGTGACATCATCACCTCGGCGGTGGTCTCAGCCGGTTTGTCGGGAGGAAGAAGCGGCGCGCGCGGCACGTCGCCACGACGCTCACGCCGCTCGTAACGATCACGCGAACGGATGCGGCCGATGACGGAACGATGGCCATCTGACGTTAACGTTCGCTAACGAGCAAACGGCAATCAGCGGCAGGCGTTACGCAACTTCATCTTGATGAGTTCCAATGAAGACGCGGAGCGGTCCTTTGTCCTCCCCTCCCACTTTCTGATTGGCAGACTTGAACTTTCTCTTTGGCAGTCTTTGAACTTCTTGTTTGCGTCGTCGTGGAAACGAGCGCAGACACTTAATCCAACGTGTCTGCTCTCCGAATCATCTATTTTTAGCAGGGTGGAAAAACAAGACTTCTCGCTGCTTCATCAGCGCGCACGAGCGCGCGCACACACGCACACACACACTCACCAGTGAGGTGGCGGCATCCTCCCGCCGAGTCAGCATTGTCACAGCGCTGCGGTAGAGGAACGCGACACCTATGCAGAAAGAAACGGAACCGGGACCAGAATCCGCCTTGCGAGTGCCTAGTGAGATAGCACAAGGCGTGCAGGCAGGCACGCCTTTCCGCGCTGGCGTCAAAAGCGCGGAGGGCGGAAGCGGCGTCGTCGGCTCGGGCCAAGACGAGGCGTCGCGGTCCGGTTTGGATGCCGCCGCCAACTTCTGGGAATCAAGCGGAGCGAACAAAGCCCGACGACTAGGTGCCGTGACATGGCGATGGGGGATATCGCGCAACGCGGCCCCCTCACGAGGATGCCCACACTCAGGTCACCTGAGCGACACTGACGCGTGTCTGACGGGCAAGAATCCCGTCATGTCACGTGAGCGGCGACACCAGACCCGCGACGGACACTCACTGTCGCGAGACAGACGAGAGATTTGTGCGGGGGACGTGCGATCGGCCGACACGCCGGCGCGTCGCTTTTGTCTCCGCCCGAAGATTTGACGCCGCGGCGCGGGAACGTCCCGTCCCGTCAAAGAGGTCGCGACGCACGACGGGCGAGACGGGCGTGTCGCCGGATCGCGACAATGTGGTGAGCTCATAAGCTAAGCGTCGCGGTACGCGAACATGCTAACAAGTGAAGTGTTGCGGTTGGCCCGGGCGACGCTCAAAGGATGCGCCGCCGCCGCCGCCTCGCTAACGGCTTCCAGAACAGTGGAAACTTCTCAAGGCCGCAGAGCATCTTGGCGCTCGCAGCCTGAGTGCGTGCGTGTGTACGTGTGAGTTCAGTGTGTGACTGTTTCTGAGGGTGCGACTGTGTGTTTTTGTAGTCATGAATGTGTGTGCGTGCGTGTGAGAGAGAGAATGCATTAATGACGGCGAGCGCATACTTGCGTGCGAGTGCGAGGGAGCGAGCGGGGGCCAACGAGGCTCGCGGCGGCCGTGGCTCGCGTTTGTCGGGGCGCGCGCTGCGTGGGAAATTCTTCCGATTGCAAATGGCCAAGATGGCCGCGAGGCTCGGGGTCAGCACCGAGCCGGCGACCGACCCCCTGCGCCCCGCCGGCACTCTTTGGGCGCGGAGCCCGACGGACAGACCGAGGGCAAAGAGTGACGGCGAGTGCCGCCAAAGAGACTCGCGTTCCCTCGTGAGCGGACGCCAACGAGCCGTTGGCCGGGCTTGACGTTTCGCCGGGGCGAGTGGTGACTTCTCTTTTGCCGCGCTGGCGCTTTGCTGCATTTTTTGTGCTTTTGCCTCAACTGCTCAAAAACGAAGGCGGCGTGCGCGTGTCGATTTTGAGCCCGCACGAGTGGCGCCCGGTTGTTGCGGCCGTTCGGGCAAAGTCACGAGTGGACTCGTCGACGCTGACATAGAAACGCCAATTGGAAGGAGGAGGAAAAAGAAAAGGGCCCACGTGCGGGGCGGGAACGTCTTGAGGTTTCGGCACCGGCTCGGCGCGTCGGGCGCGGGGGAATCCCCAAATCCCCGTGCGCACGCCACCGCTTGCTCGGAACGCCAGACGCGCAATTAGACTCACGCGGCGCCCACGGAAATTTGACAAGACAATTCCAAGCGCGTCGCACACATTCAAACGCGTGCGCGCTCTCCGTTTCGCAGCGGGAGACGCTCTCAAAACAAAAGCGCGTCTTCGTCAAGCATGTGGCGTGTCAAACGGAGCTTCTTGTTCGCAGCTTGACAGGAAACCACAACAGGCGACACGCCGGCCCGGGTCGGGTCGGGTCGGGGGCGCAGCGAGACGCGGCCAATGGGAGGAAAGGGAGACACGCACAATTGGCAAACAGGCAGCGTGCGTGCGCTCCGCGGCCGCCCAATGAGAAAAAATAAGACGACTTCCCTCGGTGGCGATTGAGCGAGGGGCACGACAAGCCGAGGCTCGCGCCATTGTCAGACGACTTTGGTCCTCTTGGACGGCCAAAGGAAGCTCGCGGCGCCGCGTCGCGCTCGTTTCACGATCGGGACTCGCAAATCCACCCAAACGTTTGAGGGCGGGGGCGCAAAAGGCCAACGGCGACATCCGCCCCCCATTCAGATCGGCATCCCGCGGGCCGACCGAGAACGCGAGCCGCCCGTCTCGCGACGGTCGTTCGCCGGCCCTCCGCCGCGGACCCCGACGGC